GACGAATTATGTTTCTTGTTTTCATGAATTTAGCAAATAATAGCTTTGTTTTTGGATTTTGTGACCCAAATAATATAAATTATGAAAACAATCTTTTTTTCAATGTTTTCAAATTTTAAATTTGAAATTTTTCGAACCCAAGTTTCGTTGGGAAATTAATGGTCCTCAATCCTTTTCCCTTCCACAGAAATATCAAACACATACCACAATATGCAAATAAAGAAGAAAACTGTAAACACAATAATAAATGACACATCAAATTATACTGGTTCACCATTAAAGACTATGTCCAGTTTTACACTCAGATGTGGGTAATTCACTAATATTGTTAAGGATTGGTTACAACAACTCTCCCAAAAATATCACCAGAGATCTCAAAAAAAGCTCAACTATCTTCTAAGTAATCTAATACAATTACATAGGTACAGGAATGAAAAAAAAAACACTCACTAAACCCATGGGATACAAACTCATTTTCAACACTGCCCATAGCCACTCAAGTCTCTTTTATTTGGATTCTGTACAAATGAAACATTAATATAAGGGCTCTATTTATAAGATGCCAAATATCTTAATTCTTATAGGAAAACAATATTGTAGTCCTTATAATTAAGACAATAATCTACTCCTTGTAGGAATTGGTAATCATGTTGAAAACCATTTTCTTCATACGACATGTGTTTTTTTTGTTTTGGCTTCATTATCCCAACAATCTCCCACTTAGAGACAAAACATCGATCGTGCCTTCCACTGGACCAAGAGTGTCCCATCTTCTTCGCAACCCCACTAAGGCTCAGTTCTGATGCTCTAACGAACTGATCCATACTGTTTGGCCCTATCCAAGCTCCGTTTGACTTTACCCTGAGACTGGACAGCTCTACGTGGTCTTGTCCCCCATATTAAGAGACATAGCCACGTACTTCTACTTGATCTAAGTGGTTTTCGCTGCTTTTTTCTTCGATCGACCCACTGACCTTTAAAAGAAGATTTTCTCTCTACATTAGGCTTGGCACTTCCACCCAAGCATGTTGCCACACTAGAAACAAAACTCGTACCCTTCAATGCATTAATTTGCCTATGCGACTTCACCAACTCGCCTAAACGTCTAACAACTGAGGAATGAACTTGATGTCCTATCAAATTCCCGTTTTCCTTTTTTGTACTTTCCACCTGTTTAACTTGAGCTGATGGCAGATCCTCCTGATTTTTTCTGGCCATCAATGTTGCTGGTCCTCCGAAGTTTCACCCTGAACCATCTGCAGCTACTCCGTGCATTCTCTATTTTAGTAAATCCTTCGCAACCCCAAACTCTGACATATAAACAAAAGATCTCTTGTAGCTTGTCGCCACTACTCTAGATTCCCTCCTGAGCTTCCAGCAACCCCAAACAAACTCACTGCTATAGCCATCATCGTCTAGCTTTCCTGTGGATAACAAATTCAATATAAAGCTAGGAATATACCTGATGTCTCGCAACACCAACCTGGTCCCTTAACCTGTCTTCAAACAAACATCTTCAATTCCTCTCACCTTGGAGATACTCTCATTCCTCATCCTCACTGAGCCATAATTACCTACAGCAAAAGATGAGAACCAATGTCTGCCTGAAGTAACATGTGTTGATGTTGCAGTGTCCACTACCCACACTGATGAATGATCTACATATGTGTCTCTCTCAACACAAGCTAGAAACTCTTCAATCTGTTCTTTACCTATTACAACATTTACATAATTGTCCCTCTTCTCAAAATCTTCTTTGAACTTTCTGCAAAAACGTTTAATTGTGCCCCTTCTTGTAGCAGTAATAACACTCCACTTCCCAGCTAGAACTTCCACTCACCCTATTATTTTTGTGATGCTGCATCTCTATGTAACTCATCTTGGTCTTCCCCTTGTTCAGTGATACCAAAGCTGATTTGAGCCCGTTTTCTGCGCTAAAGTAGATGCAGACATTTTCCCTAGTTTTCTTCTAGTTTCCTTAGATAAGACAACATCACAAATAGCTGAAAATTTCATACTATTGTCCCCTAACAAATTCGACACCACGGTCTTCATCGTCTCCCAACAGTCAGGCAAAGATGTCAACAGCCTCATAGTCTTCACCTCCTCATCAATTTTGATGCCCATCCCTTCTAGTTTATTCAATATATTAGTGAGCTCATTAATGTGGGAATTCACCGAGTTCCCTCCTCCATGTGGATATTGAAATACTTCGTCCATAGAAACATTTTTGTGTTGGCAAAAGGTTTTTCATACCTGTCTTGCAAGGCCTTCAACAGTTCTTTCGCTGTTGTCTCTTTTGTCACCAGACTGCATACCCCCATCGATAAAGACATTCTGATGTTTGCAACGGCCTGCTTATATATCAATTTCCAATCCTTTTCGGTAATCTCCGTTGGTCTATCCCCCAAACTCTTGTGTATCTTCTTGCACGTAAGAAGATCTTTTACCTGCATCTTCCAAAAACTGAAATTATCTCTAGTGAACTTCAAAACCCCTTCATAGTAATAGTGTGCGTGATATTTGTCTCACATGATCTGCAACTCTACAACTCTGATACCACTTGTTGGAAAATTAATGGTCCTCAATAACTCCTTCCACATAAATATCAACACACACCACAATATGCAAATAAGGAAGAAAAACTGTAAACAGAAGAATAAACGACACAGCAAATTATATTGGTTCACTACTAAGGGCTACGTCCAGTCTTTCACTCAGATGTGGGTAATTCACTAATATTGTTAAGGATTTGTTACAACAACTCTCCCCAAAAATATCTGCTAGAGGTCCCAACAAAAGCCCCCTAGCTTCTAAGTACTCTAATACAATTACATAGGCACATGAATGAAAGACACTCACTAACCTCACGGGATACAGACTTCTTTTCAATACTGCCCACAACCATTCAAGTCTCTTTTATTTGGATTATGTACAAATGAAATCTTAACATAACTGCTGTATTTATAAGAGGTCGACTATCCTAATTCTTATAAGAAAACAATATTGTAATCTTTATAAGACAATAATATCTTACTCCTTGTAGGAATTGATAATAGTGTTGAAAATCTTTTTATTCATAGGACGTGAGTTTTCTGTTTTTGCTCCATTTTATCCCAACAAGTTTATCAAAACATTTAATCAAACTAGTTCTATTCATGTCTTAAATTCTATAAGTTCATTGAGTCCTGTGTTTTGGAAGTGCTACATTCACGGGTTAATAATTGATCCTATTTTGAGAGACAATTTTCTTTCTTTAGTACACTATCTTTGAGAGACAATTATTCATGATACTTAATACATTAGAAAGAACAAAATTCTCTTAAAAAAGTCATTGTCAGGTTGGAATTACTAATTTCATGTTTCTTAATATCTCTAACAAATTGTTCTAATCTAAAACAATTTCCCTAGCTAGCTTCCCTTTTAACTATTCTCATTTTCCAAGCCCAAATTTTTCAAAACTCTGAATCAAACCACTTCTATTCGTGCCTCAATTCTTTTTACAAAGCCGAAAAAGAAAATTTGTGAATGACTTGTTTATTGGAATAAATTATTAAATAAAGACAACAAAATATAAAATTAAAAAAAAAATCAATTCTAGAATGGATTGAGTTCCGTGCTATGTTGAAACTGTTAAAAATAATTTTAATTTCTTTTATAAAAATAATAAAAGACCGTATCAATCCAAAAAGATATCCATTAAAGAATATGAAATTTTCTTTGCTGCGTGTCGGCCATGTCAATTTCAGTTGCCCCATCAACCACCCAAATTAGGCGAAATCCCCAAACTACCCTCCAAAGCAAAATATTATTCTAATTCAATTTATAATATCAATAATAAAATAAATAATTTTGACTTTTTTTTATCCCCCATAATATTCACGTTTCCTAATTTCTTCCAGTTCATTTCCCACTCATCTTTCCCCCACCTAAAAATCTAAACCTAAGCCCCCCCTATCTTTTTACCTTTTTAACCTTCCATTAACTGCCTTCTCCAACTTTCTACTCTCTACGTCGCCTGGATTTCTGTCTTTTTCCTATCTTTATTTTCTACTTTTCGGAATTCAATTCGAACCACATGCCTTCATTGTGGGTTGGTCTAGTGGTGGTCTAGTGGTCGCAAACGAGTTTCACGAAAAAATTAGAAATTGAAAACGTTTTCAAGATATGAGAACGTAAGTGTACGGTTGAGTGGAGGATATATATTGTCAAGCTGTTTATTTTTTGAAGGTTAGTTAAATTTTACGTTGTTGCTGTTGATTTGTGTATAAGCACCATATTTTTCTTCTCTTTCTTTTTTTTTCCTCCCTGTAATTAATGATGGGAATCTTTTAGACTCAGGCATTTACTTTTCTTTTCATAGATGAATGATGAAATTTGTTCCCGCTTTAATGGCTCTCTATAGAGTTTTGATGAAATATTTAATCTTTGCTCCTTATTAACATGGGTTAGGATTTATTTCTCAAATCCTTTTTTTTTTTCTTTTCTTGTAGTTGTAATGAAATGCAAAAATTTGGAGAAAAAATTGATTAGTTATTTAGGGCTTTAGAATTATATTGTAAACATAAATTCCCTTTTGTTTTCAATATCTAACCAAGTACCTATAATTTCAAATACTTACCTATCAAAACAAATAATACCTCATGTTGCTACTAAATAATTTAATTTATATAAGAAAAAAATTAAATTATAAATTTGATCCTTCAAATCTGAGAAGGGTATCTAACAAGTCTTTGAATTTTAAAAACGGTCCAATAAATCACTAMAATTTTAATATTATGTATAATAGATCCATAAACTAACATACTTTAAAATTAAAAGATGACCTATCATGTTCATTTTAAGATTTTAGGATTAAATCAAATGCAACGTTAATCTTTTAAAATCTTATTAAATATTTTTAAAAGTTTAGAGACTCGTTAAACACTAACGGTATCTTCAAAGTCCGAGACCAAACTTATAATCAAATAATATTTGAACCACCACAAGAAGCATATAACTCATCTCTACGGAAAAAGTCGGAAGTCGAGGTTTTTTTTTGTATATATAAATTAAGTTTTTCATCGTACTTTATTTTCTTGTGTGTGTCTAAAAGGCAATACGGTTGGGATTTTTATAAGTAGAGATCAGCCTCGGAATCCCAAGACCCTGGCCGTGATGACTGGCATCGAGGACTGGCCCGAACCCATAGTCCGAGTTCAATCCTTGGCCGACGGCGGCTGCCCGGCCGTACCCAGCCGCTACATCAAGCCCCCCACGGACCGACCCTGTGCCGCTGCCACCGCCGCCGCCTCCGCCATCAACATCCCAATCATCGACGTCCACGGGTTCTGCCTGGACCATGACCAGGCCCTCCGCACCACCATTCTGAGCCGGGTCTCCGACGCCTGCCGCAACTGGGGGTTCTTCCAAATTCTGAACCACGGCATCCGGCCCGAGCTTCTGGACCGGGTCCGGGAAGCTTGGCACGAGTTCTTCCACTTACCGGCCGAGCTGAAGCAGGCCTACGCCAATAATCCCAGGACTTATGAGGGCTATGGCAGCCGCCTAGGCGTCCAGAAAGGCGCTATTCTTGACTGGAGCGACTACTTTTTTCTTCACTATCTTCCCTCTCACCTCAAGGACCATAACAAGTGGCCCGCCGCCCCGCCCGATGCCAGGTGAGAGGAAAAATCTCGCTCTTGTCTCTTAAGCTGAAAGGTTAGAGTAAATTTAGAGTTACGAAATGACATTATTATTCTTTCCTGTTCTGATACCATGAATTATTCGTTGCAAAGTCAAGACTTTTGAGATGGGTTATATCGTAAATTAAATTAAATGAATTTTGTTTTAATGAAATTGAGGGGGGTATTTGTAGGGAAGTGATAGAGGAGTATGGGGAAGAAGTGGTGAAGCTTGGGGGGAGGTTGTTGAAGCTTTTGTCGCTCAACTTGGGGCTTGAAGAAGGGTACTTGCAGAATGCGTTTGGAGGAGAAGACGTGGGGGCTTGTTTGAGAGTTAATTTTTATCCCAAATGCCCGCAGCCCGAGCTCACGCTCGGGCTGTCGTCGCACTCCGACCCCGGTGGACTGACACTGCTGCTGCCCGACGATGAGGTCTCTGGACTTCAAGTTCGAAAAGACGATATGTGGATTACTGTCAAACCCGCTCGCCATGCCATTATAGTCAATGTGGGCGACCAAGTTCAGGTTCGTTTTATTCATTACTCATCTTGTGGTATTTGATCAATTATTTAATTCACCTAGTTCAAAAGTTTCTTAAAAATTGGAATTATCTTTTTTTTTTTTTTAATTTTTGGATCACTTTTAGTTTTGGTAAAAATATTTGGCCTCAAAAAAGATTTTTTCTTGCACTGAAGCCATTACCCATCCGCACATGGAGGGTCTTGTCTTTATGGACCATTTTTTCACTTCTTTTGAACGGGGTCCTCGGAGACGATAAGGTCGRTTTTCATTTGTGAGAGTCAGGTATTTTCCATCTCGAAATAGATTCTCTCTCTCCTCTATTTTTTTTTACTTGTTTTTGTATTTATCTCTCTCGTTTGTCAAAAATATRACAGTGATRAGTACGGATTCACCCATCTACACCTAAATATTTTCTTTTTTTAGGGTGAAAATGTGAAGGACAAAAATAGTTCCTTTTGTTCCTACAGTACCTCCATCTACTTGCAAAATTGCATAAAAGTTTTAATACTTTTCATTTTGTGGTCCTTTTTTTAGAGAGACATGAGCCCAAATTGGATATAAGAGGAGATCATGGTAAGCYAAAAATGGGTTTTTTTTATACCTTTAATATTGGGGGTTGGAGGGAGAGAAAATGGGTTTTCTTTTATCATAATATTAGCAAAAATCAAAGGAAGTTAAGAAGGGTAAATTACATCAAATGCCCTTGATCTATGCCCTTACCATTTGAAAAGTGCMTTACTTTAATTTGTTTTAAAAGAGCTAGTTAACTATTTCTACTAGATGGAAAAGTTGAAACTTTTCAAACATTAGAGCAAAATTTAAACCACTATATACACATCAAAGAGCATGTTGTGTAATTTATAAACTTCTATTTTACCCAAAGTTCTAATTATAACAAAATACTATCATGAAAGTTTTTCAAGCTAACAAATTAGAATCGTGAAGGTAAAATTAAATATGTGTGCGGTGTTTTTTTGATATAGGTTCTAAGCAATRCAATATACAAAAGCGTGGAGCACAGAGTGATAGTGAATTCGGACAAAGAGAGAGTGTCATTGGCCTTCTTTTACAACCCAAAGAGCAACATTCCGATTGAGCCAGCGAAGGAGCTAATCTCGCGAGATAGACCCGCGCTTTATTCTCCGATGACTTTTGACGAGTACAGGCTTTTCATTAGGACGAGAGGTCCTCAGGGCAAATCCCAAGTAGAGTCACTAAAATCGCCAAGATAACCCACGATTTTGTGCTCTATAGATTAGAATCTAAGCTTAGCCACTCCCCCATTGCCTTTTTGTTCCTTTTAAATGTTATTACTTGTAAATTCATTAAGAAAAGAAAAAAAATATATTAATCCTCAATTAGTCCCTCTAGATAAAATGTACATCTTCTAGTTTGTACATCCAAGGGATGATATTGAAGCAAGAGTAAATGATACTGTTTCTCAAAAATATTGATGGATACATTTATATTACAAATGTGGCACCGTCTATGGTGTGAGTGAACCGAAACTACATCTGAATGAGAGGAATCTTGAGACTAGTTAAAAAAAAATTTWAAAAATTTGCTACTTTTACCCAACAAGATGTGTACTTTCTTTTTCAATGGCTCGATCATCATAAAAATTCTTTAAAGTTAATCGTGCTTTACTTGGAGCAATCCTAAGRTTAATTAGGTTAYTTTTTAGGGAATTTTCCTTAATAATATGTGAATGATGACAAAGAATGTTGAATAGATTTGTGTTGGTTTTTGGGGATAATTTTCACTCTTGAAGTCAAGTAGGTGACACATTTAGGTCATGAGAATGTGGGAATAATCCAGATTCCAAATCTTGGCTGGAGTTCTAGGCGTGGAGCGTATTAATTAATTAATGCAAATTACTCTCTCTTCATAGTCTATGTTTTCAAAAAGGATTGAAATGCTAGTCTTTGCTCGATGAATCTTTTTTAGCATGGTACTTACCATTCTTTGGGTTTGTAAATTTGTTAAGTTAAATTTTTTACAAAATGGCACATGTAGAATTTATTAAAATATTAGTACCTTTTTTTCATAGGTCAATGGTCGAACATCAAATTTGGTTCTAAATCATTGGCATTTGACCTCAGCGATTAAAGTATTAGTGGTTCTTTTCATAGGTACGTTAATGGTTCGATCTCAAACTCATGTTGATAATGTGATATTTTTTAGATAAGAAAAGTCTTAGATACCTATCCTCAAATAGGGTCTAAGATACCCTTGTATGTTTTAGGAGACTCAGTATAATTAAATTATAAATAAGTGGCCCCAAAGCCCCTTAATTTCTTCTTTTACTTGCCCTGCCCTAGTGAACTTTAGCCCTATTCATGGCAGTTAGCCTCCTTTTGGTTAGTAGATTTATTCTATAAGTTAATTTTTTAACAAAATAACACGTAGAGTTCATTATAATTAAAAATAAATGTTAAAATTACACATTTAGTCACTGAAATTGGTGTCTAACTCATACCGAGGTTCGAACACAGAACTTCCTACTTTGACACCATGTTAATGATGAATAAGCCACTACTCAACCYAAAAACTTAAACTAATGAGTTTGGTAAATTTAATTCATAGATTGGATATCTAACACGAAAGAGATTGACAACCGACGATGAGAAGGAGGTTGTAGGGGAGAGACGACGATGCAAGACAAAGAAGGTGGTTAGAGATGGGAAACACCGGAAGTAAGAGGGAGAGAGAAAAGGAGATTGTAGGATAGAGATGACAGTGCACRGACGAAGAAGGTGGTTCGAGATGGTGGCGCAGACGACGGGAAGAGAAGATAATAGGAGGAAAGAGGGAGAGAGAAGAAGGATAACGAGACGTGTAACGTAAGCCATATATGACCACTTTGTTATATGGAAAAGTACTTGAACAAACGATGGGGGATTATTAGAATCATTTTCTAAAACTCGTGACTTTTGAAGTRTTCATTTTCAAACTTCAAGAAACAAAACAGACAAAAAATTCAAATTTCAAAGACTAATGGTATATTTTACTCGAAGGCTACATACGTGTTTGAAGCTATTTGTAAAATATAAGGGTATATAGTTTGCAAAATAAACAAACTACAAGACTGTGTGGTATATAATTATCCTATTTATGTATTCATAAATTGTAATAGAATATTGGATTTTTTTATTTGTTTAATTTGTTTAATTTTTCATATTTCCACATTGGCCTACAAGGATTACTAATTGCATTTGTTATGATTAGGCGGTTGTTGTGGTGCGGATGGTTAATTGCGAGAATTATTGGGGCAATAAAATAATTTTTATGAAATTTTGTACAATAGTGGTATTATTTGTATGTTTGGGTGGACTTTGTTTTTTTTTTTTTAATTATGAATTAATTTTCATCCCAAATGTTGTCATCACCCATTTTTATAATTTTATTTTATTAATATATTGTTTTTAGTTCCCAATATCAATATAATAGGCGAATTACCATTTATAGAAAAACAACAAATTGAAAGGTTTGGATTGGGACTTTTTTTTAATATTATTATTATCTTTAACTTATTTCTAAATTATATTTATTTTGAAACTTTTTTTTAATAGTGTCATTTTAAGCCTCTATTCTTTTAATTCTAAATTATAGTCAGATCATTATATTATAATAATAATAAATTAATATATTAATATTTTTGCAATATCATAAAACAAATACATTAGTGATATTTTGGAACTATAATATTTTAGAAGATTAAAGATACCTTAACTACAGTACTACACTCTGTACCAAAAAACCACAGGTGCTAAACTCATATTTGTATCTTCAATTAATTTTTTTAATAAATTTAAAGTAAAATTGAATAATTAACCAATGAATTTTTTTARTAATAAAAGTAACCCTTGAACTAGAGAAATGTTTCGTTCATGTCCATAATTTTTCAATTTGATGAATCACTCTCACGTACTAACCAAAATTTGATGTGAAATCAATTTTCTAAAAATTGAATAAACATAAAAATATTTTTATAAGTTTGTGAGGTAWGGTAATTTATGGCCAGATTAAAAATTCGAGCCTAACCATCTTAGTTATCTTTAGATCAGATATAATAAAATATAATTATAACCACAAAATCAATGGTTAAAATTTAATCAATTTAGGAAATTATGGGTTTAAATTTTAATTTTTTGCATTTGTTTTGAAAAATTAATATTTAAATTTATAAAATAATAATATTAAATTTTAACGTGGCAGATTCTATTGCAAAATCGTTTTCAAGACATGGTTTCACTGCGACATGGCAAAATCGCGTCTACACTCTACAATATACAATTTTAATCTAAACAAATAAATGCTACAATATTAAAAAATAATAATATTAAAAAAAGTCCTTGGGGTTGTAGTTATCCATTGAGTTTATTTAATTTGTTTTTGAGTTAATTATCCCACGTGCGTTGCACTTTTTTCTTTTTTTTTTTATTTGTTATAAAATAAAAAATTTTGCCACGACTTTGACAATAAAGTATTAGTGGGTCTAACTTTACATTTCAAACTATGATGAGAAAATAGGCAAGATGATCAAAATAAAGTTATAATTATTAATTTTAATCATTTTCGCCAAATTTTAGTTACAAAACTTAATTATTATACTAAACTTTGTAATTATTTTATTTTGTAACCGTGAATTAATTCTCCACACCTATTTCCTCTATTTTGATCACATCACTCAATCTCAAATTTCAATTTTCATAATATAATAGCCAAATAAGTATAGATTAATTGGATAAGACATATATTATCGAAGGTTTAAATCTCCATGTCTCAGGTAGCAATGAATTAGAAAATAATAATAATAAAAATTAATAATATCAAATCACACTGAATTCAGCCACACAATTTTTTATGAGATAATGTTTTTATATTTTCCATGTAGCTTAGTTTTATATTTTATAGCATGATTCCATACTTTGCATCATTATCATAATGCTTGTGCAATATTCAACATTATTGAACTCAATCCATACAATTTTCAGTATATTCTAATAATTTTTAAAAAAATTTAATCTTTTATATAAATGAAATATTATAACTTAATCTAGATATTATACTATTCAATTTATGAATTTTTTGGTTAGGTCAACGGTTGAATTTATTGATAAAAATACATTTGGGATGCGTATATACATGAATTCTTAGATTAAATCGATAGATATAATTAAAATAATTAGGCCAGCGGTTGAATTTATTGATAACAAGAAATTGTGGATACATATTTAATTCTTAGATTAAGTCAATAGAGGTAAATAAAATAAGGAAAATAATTGTTGATTCCTAACAATTAGTTGCCAAATAATTCAATTTATTTCAGTTAAAAAAATCAATTTATTGCCGAACGTCTAGAACTAATAAAGAAAATGAAAAAAAAATGTTTCAAAAATAGATTGCTTCTTAAAGAAAATGAAAAATAGTTTTTTTTATTCAAAAAGGTTGGTTGGGCATGGCAGTATAATTTTTAAGAATAGTTTCAAAACTGAAAAATGGAATAAGCGGTTTCTAAATTTTAAAACAATTACAAAATAAGTTCCAAAAAATCAGTTCGTAAAATAGTTTTAATTTCTTTATATATAYACWCACACACACACACCTAACTATATCCCATCGAAATCCAAGTTTAAAGCAATAAGTCCATCTTAAATGCATCATTAAATTAATGTTGAAATACATCTCACAATTTTGGATTTTTTATCTTTTAGAATATCAATTTAGCAAGAATAAGTTTCATTTTCATTTATTTTCTTAATAAAATTCTTTTTAGTACGACAAATATGGGTATGAGAATAAATCTCCTGAATAGACGATCTTAACCACAAAACTATGTTCATGT